GGAAAACTTTCTCAGCTCAGTTTGTTCTCACAGTGCCATCCAACAGAGCACAAGCCTGTCTAATCAGAAGCTACAGTCCTTCACCATCTGTTTAGAGCCTAATTACAAATGCAGAAAAATAATGTGCTTTACAATTGCACCAGTAAATGCTGTAAATGATTTAAATGCATGCATATGTTCCCTGCAGAATTCAGCATGCATCTGCGACTTCTCCTCACATTAGGCACACAAATCAAGGGAAAAAATACCCAGATCTGACGAACAGCATGTCCCTAGGATGGTGATTTTTATCCCCTTTTTTTTTTTTCCCCCTGCTGGAATGGCAAACAGGGCTTTTTTGTAACAATCCATTCAACAGCCTTTTCTCCGCTTCCATTTTAAAAACTGTTTATCACCGTCGCGTAAATATAGTACAAATTACTCCATAAAACATGTAAAAGGAGAACAGCAGCCGGGCAAGCCTGCAGCTGGCTGGCGAGGTTTCAAAGCCGAGGCTTTTTTTCTCTGGGGTGCTTGCGGAGGGGCAGGATCAGCTCGGCTCATCTGCTGGGGACCGCGGCCCTCCCCGAGCCCCCGCCAAAGGGGACGACCGCTGGCATTTGGAGCCCTTGCCAGGAGGATGCTCACCGGAGGCACACCGCAAAGCTTCACCCCGCCACGCGCGAGCATGGGCGAAGGGGGAAGGAGCTATAATACCTTGAAACGGGTCTATTTCTGTGGTCGTGGAGGGCTAGGCAGTAGCGTTTTGGAGGGCCGGGGTCAGAGAGCATCACCCTGTAGTCCATGGGGAGGTGGCGGCTCCCCGCATCCATGGGGTCATGACAACAGGGTGCTGCCCGGGGACCCTGCTGCCCACACAAATGAAGCTGCCACAGGGCAGTAATTAAGAGTGAGGTTCCTGCATGCTGGCCATGGGACTGCCAGAGCTCGTTCGGAGCTTGGTCAGGATGCCGGGGACAGGCACAGATGCAGATGCACAGGGATGCTCTGTGCTGACGGAGGACACTCTGCTGGGTACCACCATCCCTGCAGCCCTCGCTCCCACAATCAAGCCACCAAAGGCAATCCCACTCCAGCTCTACAGGCTTTTTACCCAAAGTGCATCCCGGCAAAACACTGAAAGGGCGAGTCCTACCCCAAAACACGGAGCAGCTGAGCGGCAGCAGAGCTTTTTGGTCACCACCAAGGCAACGCTGAAGGAGAGGGAGGTGGTTTCAAAGGTGCTTCCACCTCCCAAAGGGTAATAGCGCTGCACCAACACCTCTGTAATGCAAAGGCAGGTATCACCGCTGGAGAGGCAGCAGCATTTCTACCCCGTGGGGCGCTCCACCGAGTGGAGACAGGCCAGGCAAGGCTTTGGAGACCAGAGAGAAAGCGGGACGGTCACTTGGGACTGACAGGAGGCGAGTATCACTCCATAACAGGTTTCCTTTCCTCCTGGAGCAGGTTTGTTTGCCTTAAGCCCCCCAATACCTACACTCAAAGGCTCCAGCTCGGAAGCAGGGAGGAATAGTTGGCACCACTAAGTTGGCAGAGAGGACAAAAACAGGTCAGGCATAGGCTCAGTTACCCCCCTTTGAGCAGAAACTGCAGCAGATGCGTCCCCTCTGCTTTCTGCCCTTTCATCCAGCACTCCCCCGACACGCTCCCCGTGCCCTCCCACCTTGCCAGCATTGCTTTGCCAGCTCACAGCTTTCGGCTCCCCTCAGCCAGTTGGACTGAACACCAAAGGCCATTTGAGAAGCTGGCATGGGGCAGGCACAGCATCCCCCCACCCAGCCCTCCGCAGAGCTGGGGGAGCACGGGAGCTCTTCATCCTCCCGGATGCTTTGCCAGCGATGCTGGCCCCAAGCGCTGGGCGAAACGGTGGCTTTGCCACTTGGCACAGGGCAGGGTGGACATCTCTGACTTGGTTTTGCTACGTGGGCCCACCCTCATGAATTTTGCAAGCTGGTTTTATGCCCACCGGGGAGAGGAGGCCAAGCCCTGCAGCGAGCGCACGGCCCTTCCCACGCCGGCCAGATCCCAACCCGCTTCCCGCAGCTGAAAGATGGCGAAAACCTTTACAGCCCCGCTAGTGCCTCTTAAGCAGCTATGGGGATGGCATTAATGAGGGGTACAAATCTGGCAACGCCGTTTGGGACAGGCAAGGAAGACCCATGGACCCAGCTCAGCTCCCAGCCCTGCCCAAACCCAAGCTCTTCCTCTGGATCTCAGGTGTCCTGGATCCAAACAAAGACCTGGGGAGCATCTCCCTCTTATAAAGCTCTTTGAGACCTTCAAGTATTACCTCCTGGCTAAGTATCATGAAGTGGGTGACCCCTGCAGCACTTCTGGCTGTCCCAACTCGATGCTGGTGTAGCACAGGTGTCATTCCTGAACTGGAAACTGGGCTCACTGGCTGCATTCCTTATCAAAAAAAGGTTATTTAAACCCATCAAGAAATAAAGCATGGTTGCATTTTCACCAACACGTCAGAAAGCCAGCTCCAGCACACAGCATCCTTCCTTCTGCCATGCAACCGCTGTTTCCCTGTCATTCTGCATTTTCTTAGCTTGAGCTCTTCAACATGACCTGTGCAGGGCATCAAATACACGTCAGTAATTCCTTCCCTGCCATTATATCCAACACCTTATAAACTACCCGTCCCCCTTGCAGGGGGCTCACCCCGGCGTTCACGGCTCAGGTTGCCCATCAGCATCCATCCCCACACGGCAGCGCTCCCATCAGCAGTCCCTGCTTTATACTCACACCTCATTCTTGCCCAATTTGAGCCTGTATTGATTTTTCCCCTTATTTCTCTAACTTTCCTTAGCTGAACGCCAGCAAAGACAAAGGATAAATTCCCTTTTTGCCTGCTTCCCCTGCAAATGCAAGACTTACGCTCTCCGCACCTACCTGCAGGTCATTAGGAGATATTAAATTAGAATAACTGGGCTCTCAAAGCAATTCTCTCGGGGCTCCTTCACCCGGCCCTCGTCAGCGATTTCTCCGAGTTACAATCCAAGCTGGGAGAGAAGGATGAGCAGAAGGAACAATGCAAACTAACAGTGCATGGATGGGTGCATCTCCAAGAGAAATCACTTCAGACACCAGCTTTTGCACAGTATCAAGAATTAACTTTATTAGCAACAGTACTGGATAATTAAGTTCTGTCCCAAGAGGTATTCCCAGGACATTTCGGTTGCCAACATGAGGTTGGCTTGAGCTTTTCAGCAGTGACCAACTACCGCGTTACCCCGAGCAACGCGGAGGCAATGGGAGCACCCACCACTGCCACCCTCAACCCTTGGGCTGCCCTTTGAGCTGAGGTTGACCTTCAGCCAGGTCAACGTTGGCCAAAATGGTCCCGTGCCAAGCCGGGGGGGGGGTTGGGCCCGAAGGGCTGCAAGCCTACGGAAGCGGCAGGAGCCCGCACGTGTAAAGTCAGGTGCCGTGAAGCTGCTCCTCGGTATCACATTCCCTGTAAATCTTCCATCATGTCCGGATTTTATGTTGAAATAAAAATCAGCCGTTAAAGCAAAACGGCGTGTGAGACGCCAGTGAGCCCAAACTGAACACCGGAAAGGATTTGTGTAAGAAAACAACCCCCACCAAGCCTACATTTCACCCCGTGGCAATACCTGCTACCTGCCAGCAAAGCCAGGATGGCTGGAAAAGGCACCAGCCTCGCATCCTCCCTCTCCCTAACCACCACATCCAGCACAGTGAGGAGATGGCCTGGAATTCCAGCCAAGCACCTTCACCACCTCACAAGCAGGAGATGCTGCAAGAGAATCCACTAATCACCCGGTCTTAGAGGAAGTATTTTCCATAGGTAGCATCCCTGAGGCATCAGCTTTAATGCCAAATTATTCCATTACATCCCTGCTTACCAGTTCACTGCCGCTAGACCATAAATCCGCACAATTTGAGTAAATAAAAACACTAATTTTTTAAAGTCCAGCCTACATTTGCATATGGAAGTTTAACTGACTTTAAAAGCCCCTTTGGGTGGGCCATCTTTTTGGGTGTCACAGGAGCTCACCCCTCTGGAAGCATCTGGAGACCATATGCTGCCTGCCTACCTAAACTAATCAGCTTTCTGCTGCAAACATCAGAGCCTCTCTAATACCTCTCCTTGGGTTTTATAGACCTTTCTCAACGCAGACCGAAGGCACCTCAAAAACCTCAGGTTAGGGCCAACAGCGTTTCGCTTCCACCGAGGCTCAGCTGCAGCTGGGTGAGGTAAGTCCACATCCGTCACACCACGGTCACAGCAGGAGAAATGGTCTGTTTGGCCACAACATACAGCCCCAGCACTACCAGCAGCGTGCCGGGGGGCCTGGATGATCCCTCATTCCATCTCATCTGGAAAAATTTAAAGCAAGCAGAAGTCCAAGTGGAGAAGTTTCCCTTATGTACGCTTTTTCATGGGAGGAATGTACGAAATCCTCCGAAAACAGTGCCCAGCTCCTCGGTGTGGCTGTTATCCACTCCTGAAGCTTGCCAAAAAACTGCTCCAGGGCTCAAACCCCCTTTAGCTCAACGCCATCGTCATGGCTTGAGGAAAGGGGGATCCCCTCGCGACCACCGAAACGCTGAGGGGCTAAACACGTACCAGACAGGCAGCAAAACCCAAGGTGTCATCAAAAGCCCCGGTGTCAGTTTAAAGCCAGCGTGGTGGTACCAACAAGCCACCCTTGCCCACCGGCACGGGGTGAGGGACACGTTTCCCTGTGTCCCTGCTGTTTCCCTGAGCTCCCTGGGGAGGACCAGGCTTTTTTTGGTCTGTTTGCTCTGGTCGAGCTGGGGAGGGACAAAGGTGACAGGACCTCCAAGGGATGAGGGACACTCCTTCCCAGAAGGAGGACGTTTCCCCTGGATGCAAACCCCTCCTCCAAGACAGGCAACCTGCCCCAAAACCATGGCGTGCTTGGATTTTTGGGGCAAAAACCCACTAAATACCCAACTGCAGCACCACAAATCGAGGGCATCCCCCCCTTCCCCTGGCTGCTCTGCTACACGAGGTGGACGAGGAGAACGGAGCAGGCGGACCCCACCGCCAGCCCCAGCATGAGGTAGAACGTCATCACCACCCCCGCCGCCTCGGCCAGCTCTTTCGGCACAATCTTGGGGCCGTAGACGATGACCAACGTCCCCAGGTAGCCGTTGCTCAGCCCCAGCAGAGCCGTGAAGACCACCGGGTAGGCGTCCTGCTTGAAGACCACCGTCCGGATGTGAGCCCGGGGTTGGTAGTTGCTGAGGATGAAGAGAGGGAGGAAGACGGTCCTGAGGAGGACGAGGGCGGGCAGCAGCTTGCTCTTGGGGCCGGGCACCTGGATCCAGGCGGTGACCTGCCTCCCGCACCAGTCGGCAAAGTTGTACAGGAGGAAGCTGGTGAGGGGCGCGAAGTACTTGGTGCTCCACAGGCTTCCCGAGGACTTGCTGACTGACTCGATGTTCGAGGAGAGGGAAGGGAAGATGATGATGGAGATGAAGAAGACGTAGAAGAGGCAGAAGCCGAGGAGGGCAGTCTTCTGCAGGATGGGGCGGAGGGGGGGAACGCCAGTGGGTTTTGCAAGGAAGGAGTTATTTGTGGGGCCTCGTGGCTCTGCTTCATCCTCCAAGGAGCTGTCGGGTGGTATGGTGGCCAGAGACGGGCTCTCCTGGCTGCTGATGTAATACCTGGAAAAAGAACAGGAGGGAGATTATTAGCCAAGTGCGTGGGGGGGGAATCCAAACCGAGATTTGGAGAGAGAGCAGGAGAGAAGCTGGCAATGCAGGGATGTCTGCTGGACCCAGGACCCCAGAGCACGTCCAGCTTCTGCCCTGTACGGAGAGGCGATCTCAGGGACCCACCGCCCGGGTGCCTTTACACCCTCGATCGTTCGCAGAGGGAAACCTACTTCAGGCAGGATTTTGGGGGTTGCAAGCACCAACAAGACCCATGGCTCACGCACATCAGTGCATGGCATGGCAGATACAGACACCTTGCAGGGACCCACCTGCCTTTCTGCTGCCAGATTACAGCTCTCCAATGACTTCAGGCATTTGGGAATATCATTGTCACTGTCAGCACCCTTCTCCCCTCAGGGAGGCTTAACAGAAACTCGGCACACTGCCCGGCGGGCGCCCAGTTTCAGTCTGTGGTTTCGGTCAAATGGGGAAGTGCGGGACTGGGGCAGCAACCGGCAGAGCAAGCATCCCATGGGTTCCCCCCGGAACCCTGCTCGGCATCGACAGCAGCGAAGCCCTTGCGGGATCCCCATGGCAGGCTGGCGCACGCACCTGGAGTACTCCAGCCGGGGAAGGAGGAGGTACACCATGATGCAGATGACGATGAAGATGTCGGCGGTGAGGAAGTAGGGCAGGGCGCTTGCCGCCAGGTCTATCACGGAGGCGACGGCGCTGATCGTGCCGCCCATGGCCTGACCTGCGTGGGAGACCAGAGAGCTCAGCACCCGAGGCACAGGACGTCGGGGTGGCAGAGAGCAACCCACAGCACCTCCAGCAAGGTGCATCCAGAAACAGCAGCATCCTCATTCACACAGCCCCCCCAAGGGGAAGCAGCTCACCCCCCTGCCCCACACACCAGTCTCCAGATTCAGCTGCACGTACCACCTCATCTCCATTTCCACACCTCGCTGCAACACAGCTCTTTGTGGGGCTGCATCACAGCCCAGCTCCCATCCCGCATCCACCACGCACCCGCGGCGCTGCAACAAGGGACAGGATGGGAACCTGCTGGGCTTCCGTGTGCCTTCTCCTGCGGAGAAGGTCTAAACCCTGCCCAAAGCCTAAACCTGGCTTTCCACTGGCGCTGCCTCCCTCCTGCACTCCCCCAGATGGGAATTGAAGCCACCAGCACCAAGTTTGCCCCCATCGGGGATGCAGTGATTTCCCCCACTGGGCTAAACTCATTAAAACACTCATCTCTCGGCCTCAGGAAACAATTCTCCGTCTTGATTCCTTCCTCTCTTGGTCTGTCAGCCGTTCCACAGCACATTTATAATGTTATCAAACCTCCAGGGAGCTCATCACTCACGGCTCCCAGCGCGCCCCTCATCACTCATGGGAACGCATGGAAATGCTGAACGGAAAGGAGGAGACAATGCAAAGTTGAAGACTCCCCCAGCTGCAAACAGAGGGGCTGAGGGATGTCTCAGACAGCGAAGGACCCCCCCAGCTCTCCCCATCTCTGCTGAGCCCTCAGCACTGTGGTGTGTGGATATTTGCAGAAACGAGAGCGCCGGCTCATGTGACCAAGTTTCTCCATCAGCAACTTCCCTTTATCTTTAAGGCAAAGTTAAGTTTCTAAAATAACCCCCATGTGACAAAGCACCAGACCCAGGGAGGGGAGAAGAAACCCAACCACTCAAGCCCAGAAAATCCCAGAGCACGATCCCAACTGGGACAGCACAGCTGGGGGACACCGACCCGAGATCAGCGCCTGCAAGTTCCTCATGGGGAAAAGGCTGCTGAGGCCGAAGATGCTGCTGGAGAAGACGGTCGAGGCGCTGCTGACAACGACCACGCAGGCGATGGTGAGGGCGAAGAAGCAGGTGGTCCAGGCAGAGGTGTCGACCTTCACCAGCACCGTGATCACCAGGAAGACGCCCAGCATGACGAAGAGGGAGGACAGGATACGGACGCTGGCGGGCACCCTGGGGACGAGGGGAAGGGAGAGACTCAGGCATTTGAAACCAGAACGTGAAGGTGCGATGCAGGGACACCTTCCACCAGACCAGGTTGCTCCAAACCTCATCCAGCCTGGCCCTGAACACTTCCAGGGATGGGGCATCCACAGCTTCTCTGGGCAACCTGTCCCAGTGCCTCCCCACCCTCTCCGGGAAGAAATCCCAGGCATGTCCCTACGAGTTAATGTGTTGCTGGAGCACAGAGGTTGCTCATTATACAGCCAGGGGACTGCGTGGGCTGGTGGGGGGCAGGACAGAGGGCGAAGGAGAGGCAGGGAGCCAGACTGGCAGCTGAGATCTGGAGATTAAGCACACAAACACATTCCACTTCACCCACAAACATGCGGGAGTTTGACCTGGGAGAAGGAAGGGTACAAACAAAGGGATGTGGCTATTTTAGACTTAAGTGAAGCTTGCAGCAAGGCACTGGTGGGTCCTTTTCTTATCCCAGTTCCATGGCTGGTAGGACTAGGGGCAAGGTGTTACTCCTGCCTGGACAACCCTGGCTCTCATCCGGTGATAGTGATGGCATTTTTAGAAAGAAAGACCACATGCCCACAAACAGACTCCCCTTCCCAAGCAAGTAGCCAAGGAATTAATTAGTAATTTATTTGCAACTCCAGGCATGGGACAGCATGGCTTTCCAGTGCTTTATCTCCCCATTTTAAAGCTTTTCCCCACTGGGTGCTTCAGGCTGAGCTGGGAGCCAGGGCTGAAGCCAGAGAAAGGCAGGAACAACACGGGCAAAGCCACGGCTCTCTCTGGCTAATGAACCTGGGAACGGGGCAGCACTTACTTATTGACGAGCAGGAAGTTTCCGATCAGGCACAGCACCGAGGGCACAGTCGAAGCGATGGAGATGTAACTCTCAAAAAAGTCCTGCCAGGAACAACGAACAAAAAGAATAATCAACCCAAAGAAAAGAATGGTAAGGAGGAACCCACCCATGAATTGCAGGTGGTAAACACCCCGTGATACAGCACACACGGGGCACTGATGGAGGTGTCCACCTCCTCGCATGGTAGCATGTGTTGCTCAGGATGACAGGCAAAGGGAACGGGTGATGGAAACCACTCCAGGGCTGTCTCATCCTGCAACAGCCCTGGGATATTTCAGGAAATTAGGCACATAACAAATTCAGAAGCAAAAAGGGTGAAGGAAATACCTGCCTTACCGCTGCGCTGGCCCCACGGGGCAGCGACCATAATAAGGAGGTCTGAATTTCTCCGTCTAGCTCCAGTGTCCTGGACAAAACCCCTGAACATTTTACCCTACTTGAGGCCTGTGAGGGCTGTTTTTTATAAAACAGGATGCAAAAGCATTAATATTATTAGCTAACCGCCTCAAAAACCCACCCTGTGCATCCCTCTCCAGGCAAAGCAGCCAGGACCGCACGCCTGAGCATGTGCTTGAGCAAAAGCAGCACAGGGGGGGACACGGGGATATTATTTTCCCTCCTGGTCTCCCTCTCTGCATGCACAAAACTCAGTGAGAAACTATACTGAGAGTACACGCACATTTAACCCGGGGACTCGTCTATCACCCGAGCAAAGCAGCTGCAGCAGCAGTCAGCATTCAGCAGCCTGCCTCGCACCGAGGTCAGGCTGGGGCTGCAGAAAGCGATAACCACAGCAGAGAGAGAGAAATTCCTCCGCCAAGACCGCAGCCGAACAGTTACGTTTTCAACCCATTCTACGTATTATGCTGTTAAAGCATCTCTCCTCCATCTCCTCCCCTCGAGGCGCTTAATCCCCTGGGTTTGTTTTTGCTGTGGGAATTTCAGCCGGCAGGTAGGACGATGCTCGCAAAGAGGATGACCTACGTATCAACCCCCATCGTGACGGGCTTTCATTTTCGGCAGTTACCTAGCTACGGAGACGGGGCCACGTCGCGTCCGAGCGCGAGAAGGCACTTGGCACGTGTTCTGTACACGTTCCGTTATTATTTTTTTTTTTAACAGCTTTGCATCGTAGTCTTTTAATCAGTTTAGAAGCACGTTCATTTATTCTTCCCTATCAGGAGCTTTACTATAAGCTACGGGAAATCTAATAAATCGCTCCTAGAGGGTCCATATAGATGGAGACGTTAATGCCTGCCCTCAGCACCGGCTTGGCAAAGCAGGAGGCTCAAAGCTCTACGGCCACATGATGGGTTATAGGAGAAAAGACAAAGGAAAATGCAAAAGCTGCTAAAACTAAGACTTGTTTATCAACCGACTTAAACCCAAACCCCCAGACCAACCCAGGGATATTTAATATACTTCCAAGTCAATTTTCTTTCCCTTTGGAGGGAAAAAAAAAGACTTTGTAATGCTTTCCACCAAGCAGAAGTATATCCGCACGTGCAGTAATCCAGCAGAGATGCTGCGTTACAAGCACCCCAGGGAAACACGCATTCGTTCCCAACAAACGTGCCCACACCAGGGATGGGAAACGAATGGGGAAGAGTATTTAAGAAACTGAGGAGACTGCGCTGCACTGGGAAATTTTACCCTGCCTTATCCACGGTCAAACCACGCTGGAAAAGAAAAGCCAAGTAGGAAGGTTTCAATTGCTGCTGTTTCTGTGAAAAAGGAAAGCCCTCACATCACATTTTTAATGCAGCGGAATGGCGAGCGGGAAATTTAATCCATGCTTGGATCACGGGGAAAATATCAGGCTCCGTCCTCCTTGCTCCTGCTCGTTAGGTGTTAATCCAGCTCAGAAGGCAACTCTTCTCCCTGCGTGGGTATTCCCACCCATCACAGACATGCTTTTAGAGCAAATTTTTGGCTATGCAACATCTACCTAGTTCTTCTCCCTGTCTGCTGAGCCCTCCCTCACCGGCCGGCTCATCTCCTCCGGGCATCCCTTGACCACCAGGACCGAGCTCCCCATCATCGACACGGTTTTAGAGGGCAAACGCAGGCACTGAAAGACTGTCACCCCTTTCCTGGTTAGTAACAAAATAATAATAATCCACAGAGCAAACCCGACACCTCTGCCTCCCTCAGCCACGGAGCCAAGGTGTGTAATGGGGGTGTCTGACCCTGTAGTAACTACAGCATCCTCAAACGTGCTGCCACGCTGCACAGCACACAGTCGGTACCTTAAAAAAAGAAAACCCAACCCCAAAAAAGAACAAAGCATCACGGTGGCAAATTACTCACTGGCATCTGCCTGCGCTGCCCGGAGCTGCTGAGATGCTGTTGCAAAGGAGTTTTTATTCCACTCCTGCCAGGTTGGAAAAGCAATCCAGACCCATGGTGGTGGCTGAAGGCACCGGAGCGTTGCCCGGAGCACAGGGCATGAAATTAGCAGCAGTGAGCTGGCTGGAGCCAGGAGCAGGCTGCCCGTCACCGGCACATCTTTCCACAGGTGAGCCTGCCTGCCACTGTGCCAAGGCTCACCATTCCGGGGCAGAAATGGAGGTGACTGGTTGGTATTTCAATTTTTTATTTATTTACCAGACTCAAGTGCCACGGAGGAGCCAGGCTGCTTTTCACTGGAGGAAGTTAGAAAAGCCTTGCGCCGCAGCCATAAGGGAAAATCCATCTTTTCAACAAAATAATGGCTGATCCGAGCAGGAAATCCAGCTGTGCAAGAGTTTTTAGGGAAAAGACACCTAGTGATGCTTACTCTTACTTGACAACAGCTTTTTTAAGAATCGCCTTGGATAAGCCTGACGTAGGAGCCACGAGGAGCGGGTGGGATGCAGGGAATGTGGGAGGACATCATGACACGCGGCGGTGGAGCACCCTTTGCCCCTTTCTCCTAGCACCCTTGCTAGCACAGGGACAACCCATTAGTGGTCTTTGGGCACCACGGGGGCTCGGTCTCCACCAGTTCAATCCACCCCGTATCTTGATTTACACCAGCAGAGGAACCTGAGCATCCTGATACAAGCACGGTCGGTGCTACTCTGCTTCCTCCCCATCAAAAACACAGCTGGGTTAACAACTGTTAAAATTAAAACAGCGGTGGGTGCCGTACTGGTGTGAGAAACCAGAAACGAAACGTGAGCGTCACACCTGGCTCTGTGTTTACATAGAAATAAAATGTGCCCAAACCACTTGAACAAGCTTGGCAACGGGAGGAGGACGGGACGCAGTCTCACTTTTTCCAGCCACAAAGAAATGGCCCTGCTTTGTTAGGAGGGAAATAAACTTGCTGGGGCAGGAGGAGCAAGAGAAAAAGGCTTTTTTGGGGGAGAAAAAGGCCATCAAGCTTGCCGCCCCAAGGCCAGCTCATCAATCGCCCCCTGACAAGCTCTTCACCCCATATGCCAAAAGACAGATGTTTATCGCTGCAAGGAGATATTCCGGTCACACTTGCCAGATCTTGAAGGAAAAGCAGTAAAGCATCCTGGGTGGGGGGGTTGGGGTGCTCGAGACTATGGCAAGCCATGCGCTCCAGGGTTGCTGCTCCTGCAAAGCCCTGCTGCTGCCTCCAAAGCTCATGCTGCACCAGTCAGGGCAAGGGAGAACATGCCTAAAATGCATTGGATGCCTCACCACGGAGGGAGAAGTTCCGGGCAATTCATTTCCCAGACCGCTGGGAGTTGGGGCTGAGTCCGAGTGAAAAAGCACAGAGCCCTGTGGGGCTCAGAAGGCTCACCAAGCATGAAGGACAAAAAACACCCCACAAACAGAAGTTGCTCTATGAAAGGCAGCTTTGCTCATGCCAAATTTTGTTAAACTCCCCTTAAACCTGAACATTTCAAATACAGGTGGAAGACAGACCACACAGTGCCACGCCTGTTAGTTTTAAGAACTTTTCTTGCTCTCCAAATAAACCCCTGCCCCAGGTTTGCAGCAGGCAAAACCCCAAAGGATGTTCGTTCACCTTTTGGGGAAGCAAAGGGGAAAAAGAGCAAGGAAGGAAGGAAAACAGCCATGAAGATGATCTGAGGGCTGGAGACCCTCTACCATGGGGGCACGCTGAGAGAGTTGGGGGTGTTCAGCCTGGGGAAGAGAAGGCTCCGAGGAGACCTTATAGCACCTGCCAGTGCCTGAAGGGGCTACAAGGAAGCTGGGGGGGACCTTTTACAAGGGCCTGTAGTGACAGGACAAGGGGAAACGGGTTTAAATTGAAAGTGGGGAGGTTTAGATTGGATATCAGGAAGAAGTTCTTCCTGGAGAGGGTGGGGAGGCACTGGGACAGGTTGCCCAGAGAAGCTGTGGATGCCCCATCCCTGGAAGTGTCCAAGGCCAGGTTGGATGAGGCTTGGAGCAACCTGGTCGAGTGGAAGGTGTCCCTGCCCATGGCAGGGGGGTTGGAACTGGGTGGGCTTTAAGGTTCCTTCCAACCCAAGCCATTCTAGGATTCTATGATTCCTTCTCCCTGCCTTGAAAGCAGTACACTCACCCGCAGATCGGACGCTGACTGTCCTGCCGGACCCGCCCGATCCGAGCAATTTTGCAGCTTGTACATCCAGTAGTGCTTTGCCGTGATGAAAAAATTCCAGGGCAGCAGGGACCCGATGCCCAGGAGGAAAAAAATAACGTAGGCCCCATGTAAGCGATCGCTTGGCTTTTGCTGGTTGTATCTGCTCACCAAGGGCTCCTCGATCAGGGGTTCCTCGTCCGTGGGGGAGCTGCCGGCTGCTGGGTGCATGGCCCTGGCACGCTGCAAAAAAAATATCACCAAAAGAGATGTTAGCGCACCAAAGTGCTGGTTGCATGCCCCTACACACAGTTCCCTCGTCCTTTGGCCTGCAATTGCTCCCCTGGATCCGTGAGCTGAGCCGGCTGGGTGCAGGGATGGCGTGGGAGAGGGGACCGCGACACCAGGGTGCTCGGTGCGGCAGCACCCACGTGCCCACCCATCGCTAATAATTAACCCATCCCCTTGGCCTTGCCAAAGGAGGGAACCTCAGCGTGTGCAGGGCTCAAAAAAAAAACAAACCACCAACGCAATTAACAGCCTGTAAATTAACACCGCCAGTATACTGTAAATTAACCTAACAGCAGCGGGTTTCCTCAAAACGGCTGGGGAACTAAGGCATCGCCACCAGGCTCTGCAGACCGGCCGGTAAACTAATGTAACGTCATCAAGGTTTTGCAAAAAGCCACTCGTAAACCAACATCACGTCACCGGATTTGGGGGACGGGCTGGGTAAAGGGAGGCAACACCCCCGGGCGTTGGGAGCGCGTGTAAACCGGCTGCCGGGCTCTGCTCCACGAGCCCGGGAAGGATTTGCAAAGCGACCCCCACCCCCGCGGGAAGGGGCCGAACCAAGAGCATGGGGGAGAGGGAAATACCGGAAATCAGGGATTTTGCAACGCGCCTTTAGCCTCCGGCGGGGAAGCGCCGCATCCATCCCTGCATCCCTGCATCC